GATAATAGATCTATAGGCTCTGTTTCGTCATGTTGCTCAAAAAATTTTTTAACCGTCAAAGATGCGTCAAGTTTTCTAGAAAGCTCACACTCTTGTTTGGGCAGTTCATTCTGTATGCTTCCTCGGAAGCCGAGAACAATCATTTCTGGGTGTTCTCAGAGGGTCTACCGGGGGAATAATAAGTTTAGTTTTAAAGCACATAGAACATGCTGCAGAACATGGACAAGCGCTAAATAAATGCAATTATTATTTATATTATTATTCATTACTGCCGTCCCATTCTGCTGTCCCGTGAACAATAATTATATAGTGCTGCTGCCTATAGCCTATAACTCTTTACCATGAATAGTGTACACGTATATGTAGAACGATTAGTTGCCTACGTTTAGGGCCATTTCAGACTTTATATTGCTTTTTTTAGAATAAGAATATTTTTGTAATCTGGAATTCGCTCACTCCTTCTACCACTTTCCGGGCAATTCCACCGGTTGATTTGCGCGGACTTCTCATGGAACATGTCCTTATAGTACGCGTTATATCATCCCCACAGACACTGCATATCCCGTTGATGTGCAGTGTGTCTTTTGATCCCCCCCCCCCCCTTTAAAAATCAATTAAACTAACAAATAAAAACAACGAAGCAAAGAACCGTAAAATACAGCAATAGAAACAACTTTCAGGTATTTTTAAAAAACCTATGAGAATATAATGTTTTTAGAATGACACGTCTTGCTCAACTCTCTTCCCAATGATCCATTTCTATTTATTGCTCATTTCTCCAAATATGTTTGTTTTTAGTATGTATATTTAGTACAAGCACATTTATTTGTGTAGTTTTTTTTTTTTTTTTTTTTTGTTGTTGTGGCTTTTCCTAAAATATCTCTTCTCAACCTGGTATCGTAACAGGGGATCAAATGCTCTGCTTTTGGGGGGGGGGTTGCTATTGTTACTTAATCATGTGTTTTAAAGTGGGGAGAGAGTGGAGGGTTAGAGTGCCTGGGTCTGGATTGTTCGTATATTGGCAAGTTAAGAGACTTTTTAGGTTACACAATGGAACACCGTAGGTCGATTATATTAATTGCCGACCATTCCGAATCGAATGATTTGTAACTTTTTTGGGCAGTTAGCTCTCTTTGTCTCCCTGTCTCTCCGTCTCTCTCACTCTCTTCCTCCCTCCCTTCCTCCCTCCTCCTCTGACCCCTCCTTTCTCTCCCCCCCCTCTCTCTCTTTCTCTCTCTCTCTCTCTCTCTCTCTCTCTCTCTCTCTCTCTCTCTCTCTCTGCTCTCTGCTCTTTCTCTCTGCTCTCTCTCTTTGTGTGAGTGTGTATGTGTGTCGGTGGAAATGTTTCGGTGTTTGTATGTTTGTTTGTCCGTCCGTTTACTACGTGTTTGTTTGTTTGCCTGGGTTTCTTTCTCAGTCCCAGCTCTCATCCCCCATTTCTCTCTCTCTCTCTCTCTCTCTCTCTCTCTCTCTCTCTCTCTCTCTCTCTCTCTCTCTCTCTCTCTCTCTCTCTCTAGTCTCTCTCGTGTGTGTGTGTGGGGGTGGGGGGGGGTTCCCTTTCTTCTTCTCTCGCTTTCTATCTATCTATCTATCTATCTATCTATCTATCTATCTATCTATCTATCTATCTATCTATCTATCTATCTATCTATCTATCTATCTATCTATCTATCTATCTATCTGTCTGTCTGTCTGTCTGTCTGTCTGCCTGTCTGTCAGCCAGTTTTCCTTCCTCCTCCCCGCCTCTGTCACTTCCTGCCTTCACATACTCTCCCCCGCATGTTTATGGCTAAAAAATGTACGCTTGTGAATATATGAAATGTGTATGCATGTGTGTGTATACATGTGTGGGTGTAAGTTTGTGTGTTTTATCTGCTTTCATTTTTGTTGTTGTTTTGTTGGGTTTTGTTGTTTTGTTTTGTTTTGTTTTTGTTTTGTTTGTTTTGTTTTAATTATTGGGGGGTTTTGTGTTTTTTTGTTCTTATTGTTGTTGTTGTTTTCTGTTGTTGTTGTTGTTGTTGTTGTTGTTGTTGTTGTTGTTGTTGTTGTTGTTGTTGTTGTTGTTGTTTGGGGGTGGTTATTGTTTTTATAAGTTATTCCCTCTTTTAAACTTACTTCTATTTGTTAAAGAATCCATTTCCTGCAGTTTAAAAGGATCGAATGCCGGCCGACATAATCAGTTCTACTATGCAGGTTGCCAACAACTGGAAAATCTTGACTACTGTCGGAATTAAATAGGACAAAAAAGAAAAGCAATCTTTTGCCACTTCTGCAAAACTCAGCAATCCAGCACACAGCACAATGTCGTGTAACTATTTCATCGATCGGTTTCCTGCTCAAGGCACGCAACCGATTTACACGAAAAAGTTACATTGGAGTTTCTTTGTTTACCTCCCTGGGGAGCTGACCTTTACCAGAGAAAGGTCTTTTTTTTCTAATACAATCATATTTTTTAACATTTAACACGTGTCTGTCCTGGGGGGAGTGATGGGGGTGTTGCGTTGTTGTTTTGTATTGTTTCGTTTTTGATGTTTTGTTTGTTTGGTTTGTTTGTTTTTTGGGGGGAGGGGCGGTTCTTGGGTTGTCTTTTTCAATGAATTTTTACAAAGCAAAATACACTCGAACCTGCTCTGACGTTCACCTGTATAAGACGGTTACT